GAAAGCATTCTTGCGCTCCCACATCTTTCTCTCCCTCCCTCCTATCTCCCTCCCTCCCTCCCCCTCCCTCACCTTGGGATGCCCCTCAAGGAGATTGTGCACGGCTCGGTCTACAACATCGGGGGGCCGGAGGTCCACCCCCAGCTCCTTCAGGATCTCGTCCGCGGACACCTATGGAGGAAAAAGGCGGTGGAGAGAGGCAAAGGAAAAAGGGAGGGTTAGGGTTAGGGTTCCGGGAAATGATGGGGATCCGCCTTGGCACGAGGGGGATGGGAGTCGATGCATATCTGTTATATACATAAATCAGATGCACACGTGAGGCACCAGGAACATGGGAGCATGCCGAATCATGGCACTACGCCCATACAGGACATATGCTGGGATGGAAATACCATCGATGTTCTCTCCCCCCCTGCCATCTCGCCCCCCCCTGCCATCTCGGTCTATCGCACCGGTCTATGCCCCGGGATCTGCTGGAGGAGGGTCACCACGTCGAAGAGCTTGTCCGTGTCGGGGCGGTTCCGGCGAGGGTCAGCCCTGCGGAGGATGGCAAAAGTGTAGCATGTGAGGTGCGATCAAAGAAAAAGCTCGTGCACATGAGCGGCCAGGAGGATGGAAGAGGTGGTTTCGAAGTAGACCCTAGAACCCTCCGAGAAAGTCAGGTCCGAAGCATCGCTTCGCGACTTTTGTACCGCATCCCTGCCTCTTTCCTCCATTCCATCCGATTATCTGTTTTCTTCCCTTTCTGCTCGTGTACCTTGCCGCTAAGATATCAGCTGCTGTCCTGCGAGGTATTGAGGGAGCCAGGACCTGCTGCTGCGGCCCTGAGGCTCTCTCCCCTCCTGCAACTCCATCTCCCACACCTCCCCTGCCTGGCCCTCTTTCCTCAACTTGCGATAGAAATTGAAAGCCATACGAAACTTTTTGATTCGGATCGACCATGAGGCCTACGTGGGGACGGGGCTTGGAAAAGAAAATGGAGAGGAAAGAAGTCGAACAGGAAAGATGTCAGGGCTACAAGGGGAACTTTGGAAAGAGAACGGTGTCAATGATATAAAGGAGCTTTCCATCGGATGCGAGATTCACATTATTTACGTTGCAACGTGATATGCGGAAAAATTCATGTCATTGTGAGGGTCTCGCGTAGATGGTCTCGGTTAACCTCCTCCCCCCTTCAACCCCTATGTATAAGCTCTCAATGAATGTTCAATAAATTGTTAGGATGTCCTGGCATAGTGAATGTGAAACTTGATAATTTAAAACAATCATAATGTGAATCGGTATTTGCAGCCTGTGTTCTGGATTGTCATAAGGCAAAGTAGCACGGCCGAACAACTTGTAGAGAGGTACTGAACATATAACGCATAAAACGAAAAGGATGGAAAGGATTCGGCTCGTCATGACTTTTCTTTCGAAGTTAAGTACTCAAACACTGCGTCGTTTCCCATTCACTTGAATAGAGTCCGTCTCCTTTCTTCGCTCACCGCCGATATTTTTGCGTCCCCGTCCACTCATCCCTTTGGCCTACTTCGTGTTACTCAACGGTCCTTACTTTTCTCTTTTAAAAACCAACTTTTGCTGAACCAAAGCCTTTCAGTTATGGGATCTCCATTCCACCATCCCCGTTTCTAGCTTTTCCCGCTGCCTTCTCTTCTCTCCTCATCCGCTTCCTCTATAGGCCCCGGTGCTTCGCCATAAATCATGTTCTGGTTTGCGGGAGTCACAATACACGTATATGTAGTCAAATCCTCTCTCTCTCCCCATCGCGGGCAGTCATAAACTAACAACACCGATAAAGGGTGCAAGACTTCTCACATAAACCCGATCAAAGGTCTCTCTCGACACGTTTTCCTCCATTCGATTATTCCTCCACCTCCAGGGCGGAACCATAGGCGTGAATCATCCTTTTTGTACAGTTAGGTGCCTGAACAGTCGGCGGTATCTTCAGATGCACGCACGCTTAGACCCAGTTCCAACGGTTGACGTTGTTCCACTAACAGAAAGGAGGGGAGGGGGAATCGAGAGGGAGAACGTGAGAAGGCAAGGTCTGGGGGAGGAGCTTCTCGGAGGCACTGGCGAATGCAATAAGGAAAGTGTGTTTCATGAGGGATACACGGAGACAAGTCGCACGCGATGACGCGGGGATGTGATGGAATAGGGAAGGAAAGGACGAGGGAGGGGCCGAATGTGGACGTGGGGCTTACCTGGTTCCATCCGCCGTTGTTCCAGCCGTTGTTCCACTGCAAAAGGGAAAAAAGGGGAAGAGGGAGTTGACGGTGAGTGCCAGTAGAGAGCGAGGCAGCGGCTTGCGGAGGTCAATTTAACCACCGAGGTACGATCAGAAACAGAAATGCAGGGTTGGATGCATATATGTATGTGTGGCGGCTCGAGCTAGACAAGTATTGGGAGCGATTCGTGTCTGACAATTTTTGCGGTCATATTGAGGGAGATAGAAATGACAGCATCATAAGAAAGCGGGCTCTGTGATCGCGGGCCTAGTCACCTGGCCCTGTCCGTTCTTATTCCACTGGAGGTGGAGAATGGAGAGGGCAAGGGGGAGGACGAGGAGGAGGACATGGTAGTAAAGGGGTGTATGGGGGAATAGGGGGATGTGGATCAAGGTGAATGTAATCGGGGTGAGCAAGACGAGGTCGAGTGGTGTGCTCCGTGCGGACTAACCTGATTGTTGTTCCACTGGGGGCAGGAGGTTTCATGGTATGGAAGGGAAAGGGGGGGTGCACGCGATGAGGGTGAAAGCAGTCACGAAGACAGTGGTGAGAGTCACGCAGGGGGCGGGGAAGAGGATTTGATGTTAGGATTTGGCAGGTGGGGGAAGGGAAGTGAGGGGTCACGGGGATAAAAGCTTAAAGGACAAGGAGGATAGTAAGAGTGGAGGGGGTGGTGCGGGAGCAAGAGGAGGGGAGGGAGGGCGAGCCGGAGGGGGGGG